TTACTCTAAATCAGAACTTTCAAGGAAAATACAACTATTTAAATTTACAGAGTGGTTTCTGACGGTGAGACTGACTAATACTTTGGGAGCTTTAGATATTGATACAGGATACCAGATCGTTCAATATTAACTTTGGTACCGGAGCATTGATTACCCTTGTTCTTTTCACTTACAAAACATCTCCAGAATAAGACATGTATTTTTTATAATCAGCCATGAACAATGTCCTCCTGAGGGCACAGAAACCCTGCAGAAGGACTGACCCGACTGTCCCGGCACAACTGCAGCTTGTACACATTTTGCAATGTGATGCATACATACACAGCTCCTTATTTTCCACTTTTTCTGCTGGAGGTGTAGTAAGCAATACTTAGTGTGGCCCTGCTCACCTGGGTTTCAGGCCTTTTCTCTGCTGTTCCTTTACCATTATCCAGTCCCCTGACAACAAATCATCTGATCCTTCAGGTTCATCTAGGTTTGAAAGTTTCAACATCTTGTGGAGTCAATGCCAAGAAGAATCGCCGCAGTATTGAAGGCAAAAGGTGGCCCAACGCAGTACTTGATGGGGCGGTCATAATAATCTGGCCACTAAGTGTATACCTGATTGTAAAGTTGCTTAAGATGTCTATGCAGCCTATTAGTTTGGTTGCCTTCCGCCGTACTTTTTCCAACTCAAGGACATCTTTTCTTAGTACTGGTGACCAGAACTGGACCGCGTACTCCAGATGAGGTCGAACCAATGATCTATAAAGTGGCAAAATTAAAGACATGTCCCTGCAATACAACCCATTTTTAATACAGGACAAGACCCTGCTAGTTTTGTTTACAGCAGCCTGGCACTGCAATCTACCTTTCAGTTTGTGGTCTACAATGACCACAAAATCCTTCTCCATTTCTGACTTCCCCAGCGGCATAGCCATAATTGTATAACCCATTTGTTTATTTTTATTTCCAAAGTGCATTAGTTTGCATTTATCGATAACATATTCAGTAAGTGAACCATAAGGTTTTACCAAAGCTTGTTGTAGTACAAACCTGTCCTTGGAATTGATCCAAACAATTTCTCATAAGGAGAAAGTTTGCTCTTTTGTCTAGGTGCAGTCCTTGGAGCAAATAAAACTATAGACAGTCCCTGAAGCCAATTCAATCCAGTTTCTGCTGAAACTTTGTTAATTTTGCTTTTATATTTCATAAACTAAAAGATAAAAAAAAAGGAGTATGTATATGCTGACCTCTGCACTCTGCGTTACACCATTGAACTCTGAACAACAGGGGGAATTTTTAAAGCTGGAGCAGACAGAATCTGGAGAAATTGCCCATAGCAACCAGTTTCTGTCTTCAGTTTGTTCAATTGAGCTTTGAAAATGAAAGAGAGAATCTGATTGGTTGCCATGAGCAACTGCTCCAGATTCCATCTGCACCAGTTTTGATCAATTCCCCTCCATGTATGTTACTACTGATCTCTGCACTACAAACTCATCACAGAAGAAGCAAGAGGGAAGCGGAGCAAGACTGGGCATGGATGAGGAGCCCTAAAAAGCATGCTTTTGCATTGCTGTATATTATATTGCTGGAATTTGTAGTCCTCTATAGCCGACGGTATTATTCTGCATTGCTGTAATATGTATTGCAGGGATTTGTAGTACTCTATAGCTGGTGATATTCTGCATTGCTGAGATTTGTAGTCCCTCTACAGCTTGGAGTAAGCGACACAACGACGAGGGTCTCAGCATTTGCACAAGTGACGAGGAATCCCTCTGCTAACGGTTCGCTATAGTTTTCCTCGACCCGGAAAATTTCTCGAGAGCACCACTTCCAGGTGCGCATGTGCATGAAGAAAGAGTCAGGAAAACAGCTGATTAGGATGATGCGGCCACACTGGAAGTGACACGGTCGAGACATGCTATGGGGTCGATAAAAATTATAGAACACAGGCTTTGACACCGTCTGGCTCCTCCCACTCTCTTCCTACAGCTCACAGCCCGGAGAGCCAGCAGCGGCCTACAGTGGGTGTGAGTGCCTAAATATCAGACAAGCAGCAGAGGAAGGCTGGAACAATGTGGGAAGCCAAGCGGGAGGATAGTGCCATACCCCGGCCAGCCACCCCTTTCATGGACTTCCAGGTGAGTCCTCACTTCACACTACCATTACATGGATGACGAAAGTGGCTGGTGGGGACGGGCAGGGGAAGAGTAGGAGGGGGGGCCAAGTCACTGCACCATGGGCATCTGCACTGTACTTGCCCCCTGGGCCAAAATTATTATTAAACACTTGAAGACCCGGTGTTTACACCCCCCTTCTGGCCAGGCCATTTTTCTGTATTCATCGCTGCGGTACTTTGACTGACATTTATTCCGTCATGCAACACTGTACTGAAATGAATTTTATACCATTTTTTGGGGACAGATAGAGATTTCTTATGGTGATATATAATCACCACTGGGGTTTTTATTTTTTACTGTAAGGAAAAATGACTGGAAATTTAGAAAAAAAAATGTTTTTTTTACATAATGTTATGAAACAATTATAATTACCCATATTTTTGGTAAAATATAAAAGATGGGGTCACGTTGGTTAAATAGACACCAAACATGTCAAGCTTTAAAATTGTGCGCACCCACAAAATTGGAAAAACTACCATACCCAAAATTTACCATAGGCCATGCTTCAAAAGCTTTCACTGCTCATCAGTTTAGTGTTATCAGTGATTAATGGCCCTAGAATTATTGCTCTCACTGCGACAATATGCAACATGTGCGGCGTAATGGGTGCAATTGTCGTTTTTGCATGTATGCGCACCCGACGCAAGTTTGCACGCGTGTATGTATGGGTGGGGTGCGGACAACATATCTTCGAGATTGTATGCTGTGGCACCATCCATCAGGTGTTACAGCACCCATTGGATTTTGGGATACATCGGTATAGTGTGCGAAGGCGTATTACAAAGAGATCGGTTCATCTGTCTCTGTACTAATCAGGCTCGATCCTCCCCAGCCACCTTGCAGCTTCCTCCACCCACTTCAGCTGCTATAGGCTGAGAGGGAGAGTTCAGACTTACCATTGGCCGGCTGTAGGAGAGCAGGCCATAAAGTAAGGGGACACGGAGGCTGCTGGAGGCATCACCAGGGAACATGCAGGCAACATCGCTGCTCGCCCCCACCACCACCAGGAGAGGAAGAGCACCTAAATCAGATCAATGTGTGTAGGGCCAGTGCAAGCATTTTTGCCTACACAGGCGAAGGTGCATTCCCTCCCCCCGCCACCCTCAGGCAGTCTTATGGTAGCGCTAGCCCTGCAAAGACATCCCATAAAGCAGCACTCCAAAACTAATAGGAGATCTGAGATATCCATGTTACAGGTCAAACCAATTATCTCAGAAGTTTACCCCAAATAGTTTACTGTGGAGTACCACAATACAAAGACACCCCCCCAAAGTGTACCACTCCAGAAAGCATAACAAAGCAGCTCACACTAAACATATCCAGAATCTGGGAAAAGACTGACCATCATCTTCTGAAGCCCTATATGTAAAGCCAAAGGCATTGACAACCCACATCTATTACCATGGAGCACCCCAATGCAAGAACACCCCCCATAGATCTTCACTAAAGATAGCATAACAGCATAGACCGCCCTTGTAATGGAGGTATATACACTAACCGCCAATGTAACAAAAGTATTAGCACTAACCGCCAATGTAACGAAGGTATTCACACTGACCGCCAATGTAACGAAGGTATTCACACTGACCGCCAATGTAACAAAAGTATTTACACTGACCGCCAATGTAACGAAAGTATTCACACTGACCGCCAATGTAACAAAGGTATTCACACTGACCGCCAACATAGCGGAGGTATATCCCATACACATACTTAAACATACCTTTTTCTTGCAGTCTTCAGGTTGGTTTTTCTTCCATAGCAGCATTGGTGGCCGGTACTTCCTTCATTACATGGAGTGCCATGCAGCCCACGAGTACTGCGAGCCCTGGGGATGGGGGTGATTTGCATATCAATTAGCTTGATATTTACATATGAATAGGCCTGGACTTATTGATATGCAAATACTGCCCATTCAAATGTTAATATCTAATCTGGTGACAGCTTCAGGGACAGTGCAGGCTTCCAGCAGGCTCCGGAGAGAGCACAAGGCAGATAGAGCTGGGGCGGGGCTCTAAATATAGGAAACTGAAGCTCAGAGCCCGTCCATGCCGCTCCTCCTGTGTATAGGAGGCAGTGTTTTTCTGCTCGCCCCCACCAGCGCCCTCAAGCGGTCGCTTGTGCTGCCTCTATGGTAGCGGCGGCTGTGTGCACTGTAAGTCCCGGTTATTTTCACATTACAACGCTGACCTCTGCACTCTGCATTATTACTACACTGCATTACACCGCTGACCTCTGTGCTCTGCGAGATTACTACACTGTGCGTTAAACCTCTGCGATATTACAGAACTGTGCCTTACACCGCTGACCTCTGTGCTCTGCGTGATTACTACACAGTGTGTGTTAATCATGAAAATTTACAAATGTAATAACTTTTAAGTTTTTATTGAAAATAAACGTCATCAACAAAAGGAATGAATACCAAAAAGATCCATAGGCATACTAATGGTATAAAATACTTCATTATGATGAAACAGCAGAAAATGATACAGGTGAAAAAAGACATTATAGCATAAGCTCAGTTTATATATTTATCCCATTATTATTATCGGAAATAAGCTGAATGCACTTGAAAGACTGCTGCATTTTCCAGTCTACACAAAGCCTTAGAATTTATATGTTATGTCATGTAACAGGAACATTGTATTCAACCTTATTTAGCATGGTCTACACCCCTAATAATGGGGATGTGTATCAAGTAAGCACTGCTCACAGCAAACAGATTTCACTTTTTTGTAAACCTGCACTACAGAAATCAACAAGGTAAAACTGTTGGGAAAGTGGAATCTGCTTGCTGGAGGGACTAAGACACCTTTTCATGAAAGTAAGGGGGCTGCATCATATTTTGATGGAAGGCAGCGCAATCTATCAGAAATAGCTCTGCAACGATTCTCCAAGAATGCTCTCTAGTTGCTTGATGGTCTTCTGGCACTGCTGTTCTACATCCACACACTCATCTAGGTTAAAAAAAAAAAAGCTGTGGTTACTTACTGCTCTTCATCTAAACATAAGGAAAATAACAAATTACTAAAAAAAAGTCTGAGCAAAAATTGTAAAGAATTAAAAAGCGATGATTGTTATTAAAGCATTAGATCACTGCAAGGCTACAGAAAATATTTTACACGCTTAAATAAGTGCAAGAGTCTAGGAACTGAAAATAAATTCAATGGATTGTTTAGGTAGGCCCATGATTAAAATAGTCGCAGGTAAATCTTAGACAGCAACATGTGTGTGTTCAGCCCTAGTGTCTGACCTCATATAGGCAAGGACATGAAACCCATAGGTCCTAGTGAAAAAAGGCAGAAATATAAAATCATTCCTCATGATAACTGCATATCTAATCAATACCTACCCAGAAGTTTTTTTTACTGAAGATATGAGGATAACCATTTAAGCATTAAAGATTCAGTGCATACTTTTTGTTTGTGCAATAAAGCTTTATTGACATTTTTTAAAAAATACACACAAGATAAGGGGAAACCCAACAGTATGAAATATATATTTTGACAGCAGAAGGGTTGGAGCAGATGCCTAGATGACTGTTTTACTTTCCCCACAGAAAAGGATTCCACATATAAGGAATCTATTCATCACATGCATACTATTTTTAAATTGAGTAGAGAAGTAATCATATAGAAATAACAATTTTTTTTCTGTACCGAAATAATTAAATATTAGATTTATTTAGATCTTCATCTGTTGATAATCAGACAGACAGTGTAGGGAGGGCAAGCAATTGCCCTTTGCCTAATACCTAAAGCCTGTTTTGACATAAAATTTAGGGATGCACCGATTGCCGATACTGAGTATTTGTCAAGTACTCGTACTCGGCCAAATGCTCCGATACTTACCCCAATACCGGAACTTCCAGTCAGAGGGAGGTTTCCTCTAAACGGCAGTGCAGCAAGGGTGCAAGGAGCCTACTCCCTGGCCAATCAGGAAGCTGAGCGGTGGGTCAGGGTTATGACCCACCTCTCGGCTTACTGATTGGCTAGGAAGCTGGCTTCACTTGTTAGAAGGCACACTGGCTTCCTGACCAATCAGGAGGCCGGGTGGCACGTCATGACCTGCCTCCCGGCTTCCTGATTCCAATAGAACACCAGGGTACCTTGGGATGCCGGTATTGGTATTGGCAAGTACCAAAACAACAAAAAAACATATCGGTACTCATATGCAATACCGAAAAAACGGTATTGGTGCATCCCTAATTAAATTTGTTGTATGCGACACTTCACTTGCTCTACAACCCTACTGAAGGGTGGCCAGGGACATTTGATTTTTTTATGTCAGGTGAGATGAGTCAAATTTTAATTGTAAAAAAATCATCCACATTTGTAGGACAACAAAAACTGTAAAAATTACAACTAAATACCACCTTCTTTTGTGCCATGCAAAAGCATTAAGCCAAGTGAAAATGAAGAAAAAAAGGTTCCATTTCTATTTACCTCCATTCATCACAGTGCATAAAGCATCATATAATGCCTGAAATCTGTCATAACGCCACCCTGAAAGGGATGATGAATCTACACCTCAATAACGAGTGATAAAGGGACCTTTTCCTTTTGTGATTTGCATTTCAAGCATATTTTATCACTCCAATTGTTAGTATAACGTCTGACGTGTTAATCTACCACTTCCTAAAAATAAGAAGCGTTATTGAGTTTTGTGAATTGACTACCTTTACAAAGCAACTATATAACAAGCGATATCAATGAAATAACGGCCGAAATAAAGAAAATAATCTTTGTGAATTGACCCTAGGAGTATTTCTCCTGGGAACCTCACTTTCCACTAGCCACCTCATTCCTGCTCTGAGGACATTCCACCAGGACACCTCATATTCCCCCTTTATTCACAATACATCCCTTTCCCAGGCATCTCACCACCAATGCTTAGCACATCCCTCCCACCCACTACACACCCATACCCTACTGTGCATTCCTCTCCAACCACCTCAACCCTTCTCTGGCTATCCCAGCTATATTGTCCAACTTGACAGCTGAAAGAACTGTCGACCCAGCCACCTAAACTGCCACTCTTAACCTACTTACCCCACTCCTGCTCACAGTACATTCCTCCCACTTGCACACAACACTTAGGCTCTAAAAATCAGATCAGCTAGACAAATTTACTGGGTTCTAGAATGGGTAGACTTTTGCTACTATGTATAAAATCAATTTTGTATGAATAAGCATAGGTGTATCTGTAAAAGAGCAGACTGGATTATCGATTAAGACATTTACAATATCTGAGGAACTCCAGCAGTGTTCCTGACAGAAAATGAGGAAAATATATAAATATAAAAAACATCCAAAGAAATCATAATTTCTATTAAGATTTGTATTTTCTTACCCTCCATGAGTTCTGCCAGGAAAGGAATGGATTCTGGGAGCAGTGCTAAATAGTTCTCTCTTAATTTCTCTACCAAATCAACCAATACAAGCAGTGCAGCAAAGCGAACCTGAAAAAGGAAAAATGTAAAGCTGTCAATAGACATGCAAAGAATGATGATCATATATACACAGTTTGGCCATATGTTTTTCCTTATAAGAGACTGTTGTAGAAGCATGCAAAGGGCATGTTTTGTTTTATAAGAAAATTTTAAAAGGAAAATAGATGGCAGCCTGCAACATCTATCCCAGTCAATTACAATACTTTTCTCCTGAAATTTCTGGTGACAGGTGTTGAAAGGAGTCCACAAATATACAGTTGGACTGGGGCATTGTTCTGTATATATTTGATAGAAAATGTAAAAGTGTCTATAGACATGAGAACAGACTGGCTTTACTTGCTTTGTATTAATGCCTGTCCTTATAAGTGCATTTTACCAGCAACATTTCAGTCATCACATCCAATCATTTAGGGAGCTATTCACTAAGCTACCGAAGGCAGCTGAGTGAATAACCGAGCCGAAGTGAGCCAAATACCGTTTGGCTATTTGCTTCAGCTGATCACCCGGCTTCTGCACCCATCGGTTCTGACGAACAGGCTCATCATGTTCGGCTGAGCCTTAGTGAAGAAAACTTTCAACTCAGCCGATCCAACATCTGCCGATCCAACGTCCAGCAGTTCACTCGCTGCTCTTCACCCCTATTCTCATTAAGGCCGAACAGCAGAAAGTGAATAGCCGAATGCTGCAGAGTCAACTGAGTTGTGGACATCGCTGGACGAAGTGATTGACCCTGGATTACTTTGTTGGACATTTTTGTTTTTTATGAAAGGAATGGTCAGACTTTTGTTGTGTTTTTTTTATTACAATTATCAGGAGTCCTGTCCAATGTTTAACCTCCCTGGCGGTCTGATTATTATTATTTTTCCTACGCTCGCAAGGGACGGAACCCGGATCCCGGCCGGAGGACACAGCGGGGATCGTGGACAAGGTAAGAGACACTACACTGTAATCCCAAAATCCCGAGTGTGGCTCAGGGTTACCACTTATGGTACTGAAAATTAACCCCGAGCCACACTCGGGAATACCGCCAGTTAAAGCCTGACTCCACTCCAGCACCATGTGGAGTATTGTGAAACTGATGCGAGTTAAAGTAGACCTTTACCCATATCTTTAAAATAACAACAAAACACACCTTTAGGCTGGGTTCACACCATGGCTTCACATACAATGCTATTAACTTGAATGGCATGCAAGAGACCGCCATTATACAAATAAATACAATAATTTCTGTTGGGCACAACTTCTAAGTTACTTCATGTGTTATATCTTTAACTAAGAAAGGTGATTACATTGAAATGTTCTACGTAAAATGCACCTTGTTTTACAACCCTAGCAGTTTCAGGGATAGGGAATGCATCTGGAAGTGTCCAAAAGGAGCCTTGGTTCAGAGACTTGATTATTTGCTGCCTAAGCCTCAGCAGCCAGCACTCCCAAGCCATCTATTTCAAGTAAATATTTCAAGGACAAGTACAACCCAGATACGATCCTGATAAAAGTAAAACTGATGAATTTTATATACGAAAAAAAACTACCACCACATAAAAGCATACAGCAGTGTTAGGGACAAGGCCTATGCCCCACAAAAGACCATCAAAATATGACATACACAGACCAATAGGTTTTAAACTGTATACATGAGCCCTGAGCCTCGACGTAAGGATAAATTAGTCAAGCCCCAGTGCCATCCCCCCCTGTTCCTCATAATATTACCTACATAATACCTCAATGTTCTGTATTTAAATTAATACATAGGGATCAACCATATTGCAAAATGTACAGTCAGTGTTAGGGTGTAGTAAAAAAAAAAAACCCACTTGTGTAAGAGGTCCTGCTGCCACATCATGTGTCTGTTCATGAGCATACCATACTACATCAATATGTCCAAAGGAATATATGTACATGTAAACTGATTCCAATGTTATGTGTTTTAATTATACATAAAGAGAACATTGCAGAAAATATTGTTTGTAGTGGATTCTTCCAGGAGAGACACAACAAAAAATGTGTATGCAGATGAGACCAATGCTGTCCAACCTAATCATAGCAGTGGTTCTCAACCTGTGTAACCTCAGGACCCACATTTGTCCTTGGTCATTAAGTCGTGACCCAAGTTGCATTGCAATGGAACACATGGCATTGTCGTACCGCACGTCCTGATGCGGGCAATAAAAATGCGTTTGGGGTGCCATTCAAGTGAATGGCAATGCACCTCTCACACCAGAACGCGTGGTAGGTGCGGTTGCATGGTACAGTGCGATTAACGCACTGTACTAGTGTGAATAGGTCCTCAAAAAGGCTGACAGAAACATGCAACCACAGACACAATCTAAACACACTCACAGACATTCTCACACCACATACACACTCCATCCAGTCTTCCTATCTTAAGAGAACTGGAAAGGATCCACTTTTGAATGGCTGCTTGGTGCGAGAACTGACAATGCTGCGCTAGGGGAAGGCACACTGGTACATACTGAACACAGGGTCGCAACCTACTTTTGGGTTACGACCCACCAGTTGAGAATCAAGGCTATTAGAATAATCTCATAACATAGGTACAACCTAGTCGCTGGTTGCTAATCTGTAATATACCGTATTTTGCGTTCCATAAGACGCACCGGACCATAGGACGCAGGGAGGTCCAGTGCGCCTTATGGAGCACTTGACAGACCGTAGCTTCTGTCACAGCTTCTATGACAGAAGCTGCAGTTAGTGACCACCGAGACAGGTGGCGCTGTGATTACAGTGCCACGGTCTCAGTGATCACACAGAGCAGACGAAGAACGTCCGTTCTTCGTCTGCTCTATGGTGATCTCGATCTCCGCCGCCGCTGCTGCTGCTTGGTTTTTAGTACAAGTGATTTAATCAGATCACTTGTATTAAACAGGAAGTGGCTCCTACTGTACATTTAGCTCTGCTTTAGCAGGGCTAAATGTACAAAAAACTACTCGCCCGGCGCCTGAAACTGCATGTATCGGGCGTCGGTATTCGCTCCATAAGACACAGGCACAATTCCCCCCTCCTTTTGGGGGGAATAAAATGCGTCTTATTGAGTGAAAAATACGGTAACTACCCAGTGGAGGAATTTTGGTGGCACCAGGCAATAGTAGGCCAAGGTTGAACACACTAACCGTGGTTATAGTAGGTGCTGATAACCATCAACCACTACACCTGGATATAAAACAAGGGCTTAGCTGGGATAGAAGTAAAGATGAGTCACATAAATCAGGGCAGGAGGAGCCCATACTCCGATGAGACAGCCAAAGCCTTCCAGCTCATAACAAGCTCTTGGGGCCTGTTCACACCACAAACAGCACGTTTCAGAGAGGTCAGCCTCTGGAACGTACTATAAGGCAACCCAGCCGGCTCCCTGCATTCAGGGGCGGGAGGGGGTGTGGCGGTGCATTGAAGTGAATGGCACCGGAGTCTGGCCCCCCTGCCCGCAGTGCGATCGCCTGCACCTTAACACATGGCACATAAGTGCCTGCGTTCCGGTCCAGTGCGATCTGCAAAAATGCATGCAAGCACTATTTTTGCAGATCGCAGTGGACCGGAAACGCAGTCACTGTTATGCCACGCGTTCGGGTGCGGGTTATCACACTGCAGGTGTGGCTGCAGTGCCATTGACTTTAATGCACCACCATGCCCCCTACCGCCCCTGAAAGCAGGGAGCTGGCCGGGTTGCGATAGCCCGTTTCAAAGGCTGACCACTGTGTGGTGTGAACCGGCCCATTATGAGCATAGACGAAGAAAAATTAGAGTTGCTGACAACAACAGAAAACCAATTAGCCTTGAGGCTTACACCAGTGCAATCAAAAGTCCAACACCTGAATGTGGTAATCAGCATTCCTAAAACAAAAGTTTGTCTATACAGCACTTATGTAGAGGTTTAGCATGGGCCTGTTAGGTAATTGTTGCACATTTTATATTTCTCCTTAACCTAGGAATAGGGTCATCATGCTTATGTCGGTCAGGGCTATTGCCTAAAACATAACACATAGAGCCTTGACACAACCACAGAAGGCACCCCCTAAAGCTGTAATCTCTCCTGTAAACTGTTGGAGATGCAAAAGCATACTGATTGTGTTGCTGACTGTAACTATGTCTTTTGAGTCTCTATGCAATCCTAGCCCGTGCAAGCCCAGACATGCAACCCCTCCAGGTCCACTGTTCTGGAAATCAAGGGGAGCATACACTGGAAACGCCCTGCTACTAGCACAAAGGCCAATAGAAAAATAACAGTTTTGTTGTTCCTGTTAAGCCAAAGGAAACACAATTAGTGAGGTGGCTATTAACAGCCCCTTTTATTTTAATTGTGGATGATGGGTTTCCTGTTTTAGGTGGGCAGATCCACTGCTGTCCTAGAAGAGAAATAAGTACAAGTAGTACAAGATAAAACAGCTAGACAAGCTGAAGTGCAGTTTGGAAAGCAGACTATTGTTACTTGTGGAAGACGACAAACATAGTTTGAAATATGTGGGCATGGCCATTCTTCCGTACCAACAGGTGGAACAGGTACCCCCATTTATATAGGATTCCTGGTGTTTTTAGTGCCTGTGTAAGGGGGCAAACTGCTCTCCTTTTTGCCATCGTTCCCTTTGATAGATATACAAAAAAAAGTTATGTCAGCTCCTTAAAATTCAATAGATTGTTTTTTCCCTGGCTTTCAGCATAATTGACATAGTGTTTTCCAGAATTTCCCTCCTATCATGAAATTTTCTGTAGGCTTATATGGAGCGCTTTTAAATCTTTCCTGTGCGAATCTTCCATATGTTGGAACATTGATTCCATATGTCTTTTAGTTGGAAGGAGAGATACTTCTCCGTATACTCCAGATGGGTAGGTTCTATGGCTACACTAACAAAGTCAGATGAGCACCCCCTTTCCATCTTGGCGGTGTTAATAGAGGGCGATGGCGTGCTAGCTGGAATAGATCCCTCAGATGTATCCCGAAATTCTGATGGTCTATTTTGTGTACTACCCGTGTTTCCCCGAAAATAAGACACTGT